TGCATGATTTTGTTAATTTTAGTTTGAATAGATTCTTTGAGATTTTTGTCCCATTCTTTTTAGGTTGATTAGTATAGAATGTTAGCTTGTATATAAAATTTAGTTCATATTTTTAGGACTTAATTTCTAGGTGATTTGTTTAGGTGTGAATAACATGATCAAAACTAGGGTTTAGGAGATAACATAGGTGAATTAATTCATTTCCCTTAGGAATTGTAGTTTGAATCTTAGGGGTATGGGACTATAGGGATTATGGGTAGTTAATAGATCCCTTAGAAATTATTAGGATTCCCCTACTGCTATTAGTATACTGTTATATTTGTTTGAATGATGTGGTGTGCCCTCTCTGGGGATTTCTATCTGTCTGTGTGGGGTATTGGGTTTGCTTGGGTATTGGGAGAGCTGAAGGCTTGTGATGATGAAGCCATTGGAGATCAAATGATTGAAGACCAACTTCCAGAGTTGATGAAGAGGTCCTTTGCTGGCAGCTGTTGAGGAGTATAGGATTTAGGAGCTAGGCAGAGCTCTAGAGTAGAGAATTTGTTTCACAAACATGGAAGGCCTTGTCTGCCTCCATTCTTTCTCTATGATTCAAAGTCTCTTTCAAATATCCACCTCCTTCCTTTGGAAGGATCAGTGAATGTATTTGAAAGATAGAACTTTTGAGAGAAAATTGTCTGTATAATGTTAACAGTTAATGAGCCACCCTTGGTAGGCAATTTACTGTTTAACATTCATCCTATCTTGTTGACTGATGTTCATCCTGAAGATTGAGACTTGAAGAAAAGCCATTGATGATGGAAGACTGATAATCAAAGCCCTTGCTTGAAGGCTGTGGAGATGGAGATTGATGCTTGCTTGAAGCTTGTAGCTGTTTGGAGATGACTTGAAGTTAGATGTTGATGCAGGGCTGCTGTGGCTGTTTATTTTTGCTGTTTATTGCTGATGTATTGATTGGTTTTCCCTGACTGTATTGTTTGCTGTTTAACCTGTTGGGTTGAAAGTGAATTCTGTTCACTTTTTCCTATTGTTTTCTAGGTTCGAGGTTGAGTGGGACTCCCTTGCCTCGCTTGTATTGTTGCATCCATGCATTTTACTGCTTTTGTATATATTTGTTGTTTCTGTTTCCGTCCATTCCCTTAGGATCTCTGTTTCTCTCTGCGCAAGAGAGGAACATGATAGACACTAGGTCTTAACCCATGCATGATAACATTAGGATAGTTTGATTCCCTTCGCAACCGTAGGATAGAGTTCTGTCTCTTCTTTCTCAAAACAAACAGAAAAACACAATAAAGATTTCAAACACAATAAAAGACACTTCTTCCGTAAAAGAATGTGAACTCATCAAAACGTCATTTTTGTCCGCTTGGACCGTTAATCAGAAAAACCCTTTTTCAGAAGGAATAAAAACAATCAAGACAGGCCTGTGTCTTCCGTGGCCCGAACTACGTTTGCTCTGATCTTTCATGCTGTATGAAAGTACGTAGGCATAGGATGCGATATCCTAGCGAGCAGCCTTCCCCTCCTTTCCAGTAGGTAGGCGAACTACGTTGACTCTGATTTCTCGTTCCAGACGGGAATACGTAGGCATAAAGTGCGATACTTTGCCGAGTCGTTTTCTTTTCTTTTTAACCCTGACCTTTAGTGTAGATAGAAATAACAATCCATACCCGAAAACAAGCGTGGATCCCGTCGAGTACGACGGACGTGAGGGGTGCTAATACCTTCCCCTTGCGTAACCGACTCCCGAATCCAGGTTTTGGTTGCGATGACCATACCTTTCCCGTCTTTGCGGTAGGTTTACTCTGAGCGTTTCCTTTCCCTCCCGTGGGATAAATAACGCACGGTGGCGACTCTTCTGTTCAGCCGGCGCCGATTTTCGCAGTAGCGACACCCTATCACTGCGAAGTCTCTTAATCTTCTTGTTAAATTGATTCTCAATTTCAGTTACATACACCTTAAACATGTCAAGCGCTTCACTTTTATTCTTCATTAGATATACATAAGTATAATCAGAGCAATCGTCAATAAAAGTGATAAAATAACGTTGATTATTTCTAGTTAAACTTCCATCTAATTCACATATATCAGAGTGTATAAGATCTAGGGGATCAGATTCTTTTATTATTGATTTATGTGAAGTCTTTGTTATTTTAGCTTGACTGCAAAATTCACATTTATTGGAATCATTAATATTTAGTTTAGGGATTAGGCCTATGTTGCTTGCATTAGAAATGATTCGTTTATTAACGTGACAAAGTCTACCATGCTAAATATTAAAATCACACAAAAAGTAAACAGAAGGAGAAGTTTTATTCAAATCAACATTCAACTTAAACATGCCATCAGTGGTGTACCCTTTTCCCACAAAAATACCATTCTTAGTGATGGTGTACAAATCTGCCTCTAAAGTTTGACTGAACCCAGCCTTATTCAGAAGAAAACCAGAAACAAGATTCTTCCTAATTTCAGGAACATGCATGACGTCCTTCAAGATCAAAGTCTTTCCTGAAGTGAACTTTAGTTCAACATCTCCAATTCCAGCAACATTAGTGGTGTGAGCATCTCCCAACAACACTTTCTTATCTTCAGTATTCATGTATGTCTTGAACATAGCACGATCATAGCAGACATGACGAGTGGCGCCAGTGTCTATCCACCAACCGTCACTTCCACCAACCATGTTGATTTCAGTTATCATGGCAATTAGTTGCTCATCAGTCAGGTTAACCTGTGTATTTGAGCCAGCTGCAGGTTTAGGCCTGCTCCTACATTTCTTTGCCATATGGCCCGGTTTCCCACAATTGTAGCAAGAGAAAACCGGAGCATCATTTCTTTGAGGTGGTGGCTGTTGCCTAGCAAACGGAGCCGATGGGGCCCTAGAGGGATTCCCATTCTTAGTTCGGTTCATAGCACAGCGGTTCTGATTCTTTAAAGGTTTGCCCGTAGGCTTCAGAACCGCACCAAACTTCTTTTTGTTGTCGTAAACAACTAAGACTTCTTCTTTCTGATCTTGTTTCCGAGCCTCCTCTTCAATTCGGAGGCGAGTAATCAGACTCTCGATTGAAAATTCTTTTGTTTTGTGACGAAGTATATTTTTGAAATCTTTCCAACCAGGGGGCAGTTTGTCAATAATTACAGCAATTTGAAATTGTTCATTAAGGGGCATACCTTCTGTAATAATCTCATGAGCAATCTTCTGAATTTCGTGGCTTTGAGTTTCCACCGACTTCTCATCCACCATCTTGTAGTTCAAGTAGCGGCTGGCAGCAAATTTCTTCGCACCTGCTTCTTCAGTATCATATTTCCTTTTCAGATCCTCCCATACATGTTTAGCAGTTCTGTAGCTACTGTAGTAGTCGTACAGATCATCAGCAAGGCTGTTCAGAATGTGATTTTTGCACAGATAATCATTCTCGTGCCATAAGGCGATTTCTTTTCGGAGCTATAGATCATTTGCTGCAGACTTAGCTTTTGCAGCATCTGATTCAGGCGTTTTGGAAGTCCCGTCTGAATCTGCAAGTGTGTTACCATTAGGTAATTCAGATGATGCATAAGGGACAACCGGGATATCCTCAGTCAGAACGTGGGCAACCTTTTTCAGAGTTAAGAAAAATTTCATCTTAGCTTGCCAACATTTGAAATTGGAACCCTCAAACCTGAAAGGTTTGTCAGAGACCGAAGCGGCCGCAGTAGTACCGATAATTTCCTCAGTAGCCATGGCAGTTATGAAAACGTCTTAAAATTGTTGTTTTCAGATTTGAAAAAATAGAGTTTGGCACAAGGAAATTATCAGGACGAGTCGCGTACTAGGTCGCTTTCTTTAAGACGTTTCGCCGTACTGCCAAATTATGCAAAGCAGTCGAATTTACGACGACGCCTCCAGGATAAAACAGTCCGTTCAAACAACTTACGATTATCAGTTGCACACTGATAAATCGCTCTAGAAATACACCTTTCAAAGTATCTGGTTAAAATAACCAGTCAAGAAAAGAGAAAAATTATAGATGAAGAGAATTAAGGAAGAGAAGAGGGAAATCAAAATTTATGAATTTGTGAAATCCGAAGTGCTTACTACTGAATTTCTACCCTTTATTTATAGGCAGCTAGTAAGGCTTAATTTTCATTCCCGTCAATGTGGGACTAAAATGAATCTTAATTTCCATTCCCTTCAATGTTGGACTAAAATGAATCTTAATTTTCATTCCTTCAATGTGGGACTAAAATGAATCTTAATTTCCATTCCCTTCAATGTTGGACTAAAATGAATCTTAATTTTCATTCCTTCAATGTGGGACTAAAATGAATTTTAATTTCCATTCCCTTCAATGTTGGACTAAAATGAATCTTAATTTTCATTCCTTCAATGTGGGACTAAAATGAATCTTTTCAAATTCACTTATATATTACTTCTTACTTGTGTTGATTTATTGCCCATTAATTGTCAATAAATCTTTCCAATTCCCACTCTAATTAATATAGTTAAAAATTAGATACTCAGCCATTAGTTAAAAATTGATTACTTAATTAATTAAAGGGCTTATATATGCACCCCCATCAGAATCACGATTAACCCGTTTTTTACAAATTAAACCATAATTGATTGTAGCCCATAAAATATTAGATAAATCTAACACTTATATTACTAAATTTGAAAACAAGTATCATTAAATCGGTTAATGAACATAAATTCTTAAAACTACACGTCTTTCCTTTATGTTACTAAATGGTGAAAAAAACATAAAGTTGAAAGATTTGTAAGATCTCTTTTTGTTGTTACTTTTCCTCTTCAACTTGTCTTCTCAATGATGGCTTTTATGAGCCCTTGTCTTTAAAACAACCTATAACCCCCCAAAAACAAAATCCTAAAAGTCTCATTCCTCCCGAGTAGACAGTCTTCATACGCATTCTCATAGGAATAGTTGACTTAGTCACTCACAAAAAAACTTGTTTAAATTCTGTCTAATATTGAGAATCAACAAAACACAACACACACAAAAATGAGTTTCTTTGTACCACATAACATTTTATTCCTTAAAGGCTTCATCACCTTGTTCCTTACTTGTATTATTGCCACAAGGTTTAACTTTTGTGTTTTCAATTCCAACATCCCTTTTTCATTAAAAACACTTCCACTTGAAGGACATTTGAGTTTTGATGAAACTAATCTTAACAAAGCATCATCAGACTTTGGTAATCGGTACCAATATCATCCTGTTGCAGTTCTTGATCCAAATTCAGTTTCAGATATTGCAACCATGATAAAGCATATATGGAATATGGGACCTAGCTCTCATCTCACAGTTGCAGCAAGAGGACATGGACATTCACTTCAAGGACAATCACAAACTCAAGGAGGAGTTGTGATCAAAATGGAATCACTCAAAGAAAGTGAAATGCAGGTACATGTGGGGAACTTTTCTCCATATGTGGATGCGTCAGGGGGTGAGTTGTGGATAAATATATTGCATGAGACTCTAAGATATGGGTTGGCACCAAGATCATGGACAGATTATTTGCATCTAACTGTTGGTGGAACTCTCTCCAATGCTGGTGTTAGTGGACAAGCGTTTAAGCATGGTCCTCAGATTAGCAATGTTCAGCAGCTTCAGATTGTTACAGGTTTGTATCTAACTGTTGTGATTTAAGAAAATGCTTTCTTATTTTTCGTTTCTTTTGTTTATTGAATGAATGAATGAATGCAGGAACAGGGGAGGTGGTAAACTGTTCTGAGGAGAAAAACCAAGAACTCTTTCACAGTGTTCTTGGAGGGCTAGGCCAATTCGGCATTATAACACAGGCGAGAATTCTGCTTGAGGAAGCACCTTCCATGGTAATTAACTAATTAATGACTAACTCATACAAATTACAATAAACAAACTCTTTAAATTTTGAGCAAAAGGGAAAAGTTGATCATCCATATAGCCAACCCACTCGGTAGGATAAGACTTTGTTGTTATTGTTGGTTATAAGTACTATTTGTATTGTTTGCAACAGGTAAAATGGATTAGAGTGCTATACTCAGATTTTGAAGCATTCACTAGAGACCAAGAGAGATTAATATCTCAAGATAATGCATTTGATTACATTGAAGGATTTGTTATAATCAACCGAACTGGTCTGCTAAATAACTGGAGATCATCTTTCAACCCACAAGATCCAGTTCAAACCAGTCATTTCATCTCAGATGGAAAAACTCTCTTCTGCCTAGAATTAGCTAAATACATCATCTTTCAACCAATACATATAGTAAATCAGGTGGGTCACCCACAACTCAATCTAAACATTACATACATCATATCTGGTCTGAACATATGTTTAGAAGTTGAGACAATCCTTCTGTTATAAATTGGTTTTGTAAGATTGAGTTCCTGAAACGATATTAAAGTCTGGTCCAAAACTCGTTAGATTATCTGTTATCGGGTCACTTACCATTTATATTCATACACAAAACCCGACAGTATGTTTATAAGTGGATTTCAATCCTCAATTTTCAAAACTTTTTCTCACTCTCTATGTTTGTTCTTTTGTGCAGGAAGTGGAGAGACATTTGTCAGATTTAAACTATATCCAATCAACCCTTTTTGTAACAGAAGTGACATATGTAGAATTCTTAGACAGAGTACATGTATCTGAGATGAAATTGCGTTCAAAAGGGTTGTGGGATGTTCCACATCCATGGCTCAATCTTTTTATACCAAAAAGCAAAATACACAGTTTTGCACAAGTTGTCTTTGGGAATATCCTAACACAAACAAGCAATGGTCCTGTCCTTATTTACCCAGTAAACAAATCAAAGTATGTATCTTTCTTTTAGCCTTCAAACCTTTGAAAATAATTAGTTTTACATATTTGAATGAATATATATATGTTGTTTGCAGGTGGGATAATAGAAGTTCAGTTGTTATTCCAGATGAAGATATTTTCTACTTAGTGGCATTTCTTACATCTGCAGTACCTTGTTCAAATGGATGTGATGGATTAGAACACATACTAAGTCAGAATAAAAGAATTTTAGAGTACTGTGAAAGAGAAAATCTTGGAGTAAAGCAATATTTGCCACACTACAATACACAAGAGGAGTGGAGGGACCATTTTGGTACTCGATGGGAGGCTTTTAGGCAAATAAAATTAGTTTATGACCCTTTTGCAGTACTTGCTCCTGGCCAAAGAATTTTTCAAAAAACAACAACTGCATCCTCATTTTAGACAGATTCCAAATTCTATTATTTATTATCATTATTAATGTGAAAAAATGAAATTTTTTCTTATGGCATATGTGACATATGAAAAATGCTATATGTTTGTTTATAGAGGTTTAGATACAGACCACACAGATTGGAAAGAAGCCGAACCATTACAGACCACGCAGATTGGAAAGAAGCAGAAGCATTGATAGTGTACAGGAAAATGAATGAAAAAGAGATTTATAAAATTATGAGTGGTTAGATTTGTATGTCTGACAAGTAACTTAGGAGTTATGTCTATGTGTCATTATTGAATTGGATATTGAAGTGGTAATTTCCATACAAAGCAGCAGACCCCTCTCATGAATTGGTAATAAAAGAGACCAAATCTTTCGGGCATTAATTATAGTTTAGGATATAAAGAGGGCTTATAAATATTATATGTCAATGTTGTGAATGTTGAAATTCAATCACACTATATGGAGAATTTCATTCAATCAATCTTGATCTCAAGATTGTTTCAACTCACGTGTTGACAATGAAATAAAAGTTTAGAAAGAAAGTAAATGTTGGAGAAGAAGATGAACAATTTTCTACATAGAACTCTCTGCCCACAAACTGTGGAAATTATGTTATTTCACTTGCAACTGTAAATTGTGAATTACAAAATATGATGGAATGAGATGTTTACAAAATAATGGTTTCTTTCTATTTATAGATTTAGGTTAACTTGCACTCCAAGACAAAGGCCAAACTATAAAAGCCCATAAATATCTAATCTAATCTTTTTAAATCAAATCTGATCTTTCTAAATCAAATCTAATCTTTCTAAAATAATGAATTACATATTTAACACACCACCTAATTCACCGTGTCTAAACTATCTACATTCATCATAGACCTTAGCTTCTTGAACACTTTGACATACACTCCCTTCGTCATCATGTCGGCAATCTGACTCTCAATTTTGCAGTGTTTCAAGTTCATCTTCCTTTCTGCTACCTGCTCTCGAAGATAATGAGACCTCATTTCCATGTGATTGCTTCGACCGTGTGCTATTGGATTCTTCGCCAAGTTGATAGCTGAAATGCTGTCAATCTTCATGGTAATTGCTCCATGACTCTTTACTGTGATCTCTTCGACCAGGTTCACCATCCAAGTTGCTTGACATGCACAAAGAGAAACAACTATATCTGATTGTATTATCAATTCGCCTTGGGTCAAGTCTGGCAATATCTTATTGTGTGGCATTGGAAACAGACTATCTGATTTCCTTGGTTTTTGTTAGGCGTGCTGACGCGATTGACGGTTATCTGGTTGTCGATACCGAGAATGTCCTGGAGTTGGAGGAATCATCGGAGATAATACATCCCCAGTTTCTCTGGACGTTACATGGTTGGAGTGACCTTCTTTTTTCGTCATGTTCTGCAATGTCTCTAGAACCCAATTCATCTGACACTTGAGAATTCTGATGTCCTCTTTCAGCATTTCCTGAGCTTTCAAAAGTCCCTCCATTGTTGCCATTTGTCCTGGATATGTTCTAGGTATCCCTTCTCTATCTCTCTGATCAAAAGCGACGCAAGGCTGAGAAATGCAAATGCAATGCAAAAGCAAACTGGTTTTACAAAACTCAGAAGATTGACTGGGTCAAAACCCTCATTTCATCAATCGTTGGAAAAGTTACAACTTTTTAAAAATACCAGAGATCGACTGAGTTTTACAAAACTAGTTGCGACATGATATGTTTATGGTGATATGATGTTTATGAATGCAAGAATGCACAAACACGGGCAAATGCAAAGATCACGCATATGCACAAAAACACAAGCTTAGGTTTAAAGGGAGAGCGTGGGTCTAAGGTCTACCCATCCCCAAGGATTTGCACCATGGGTTAATTTTTACCTGCCGCACGGGTTCTAACAGAGTTCCCAGAGTCAACAACCCATCTTTTAGATATTATCAACTTCCCAAATCACTTGGTAATCGATAATATTCTCAAGAGAGTGTCGTCCAAGTGTAGTATCGCGTTTCAATTATTTCAGAAATACTTCCTTATAGCCATCGCACTACATCCTAATAAGGCCAAAGTGGGGTGTAATGTAATCTAAAAGTCCACAGTGTCATGGGCTCCTTCGTCGAAAGTAACATTGTTTTCACGAATACTCGATCAACAATACTAAACTTTCAAGAGGGCCTACACTGAGCGGTGGTTTCTCAAGTTAACTTGGTTGGGAATCAACTCCCTATAAGCCTTCTTGAATATACCACCATCCTATCATAATTGCACTCGAGTCCGGGTATAGAACCGTCTCACCACTCAAAGCACCCAATACCCAACACACAAACAAATATATTGACAAATATACATGTTAAGCAAATATTCACAAATATAGCATGCAATTAAACAAAATAGGCTAAACCCTCAAGTTAAGTACTTGTCCCCAGTGAAGTCGCCATTTCTGTTGTGGTGAGAATCGTGATACCAAGCTATTGATTAACTTGAATCTTTAATTCTTTGAATTCACAACCGGACTTTAATTTATCCAAAGGAAAGGTCTAAAGAGAGAAAGAACCTTTTGCGCGATGTAACAACAACGCTAAGAGATTCGGGGATCGGAGGTTGGTTATGTCTAGGGTAGGTATTTCACATCCTAAACATCTGTAGTACTCTACAGGAACCTTTTGTTTGTTTGCATGCTAAGTTTGGTAAATGTTTGTTATGGATTGGGATTGGGTAAAAGGTGTAGGTAAAGACCTAAGGATAGTTTCTAAGTTTGCTCGCAAAGAGCTCGCGTCCTCTGCCTACGTATCCTAACTAGGATAGAATCAGAGCAATCGTAGTTCACCTCACTAGGGTTAAAGAACACTTGATTATGATCAAGGTTCAAAGGGGAACAAACATAACAATGTTTGTATAGAGTTTAAGAAAACTCTCTAAATCTATGTTGAAACACTCAAGAGGGGAGTAAGTAATCATTACTATGATTCTTACATAGAGTTTACCAACTCTATCCTAAAGTTCTACGTTGTGAGACCAATTGGTTCTATCTAGACCAAAAGGTGGGAGAAAGGGAAAGGTTGCTCGTCAAGATATCGCATCTTGTGCCTACGTATTCTCATTGTCCAATGAGAAATCAGAGCGGTCGTAGTTCAGGCATGAACTACAGAATAAGGATCAATTGGTTCATTCCATACCAAAAGAGGGAGAAGGTTCTATCCAGACCTATGAGTTAAATCCTATTGGTTCTATCCAGACCTTTGAGTTTTAACCCTATTGGTTCTATCCAGACCAAAAAGGGGGAGAAGGTTCTATCCAGACCTATGAGTGTGTTGAGCTATCTATGACCCAAGGGTCAATAGAGAGACTTTTCCTTTGGAAGGAGAGAGAGGAGGCAACTTGGATGAGAACTAGAGAGTTCCATTACTTGGGGAAAAATACTTAATAAAGCAATAATCATTCACATATGATGAATACAATAGGCATGTTTACAAGCAAACAAGCAAACATAATAAGCAAGGATTTATATCAAGATAAATCGTTACAACCAAAAATCATGTAAGCGTCAAGATATCACAATATTATGAAAGAGGGGAGTTCTTACAAGACTTAATGAAAGGTAAAAACCAAAGTGCATGTTAACAAAGAAGGGGGTACATCTTAACAAAGATGGAAGAGGATCTTAACAAATATGCATCTTAACAAAGATGAGGGTTCTTAGGGCTTACAAAATTACAAGTATACTTACAAGCATCATGCCTAAATCAAATAATGTTACAACAATGTAAGGAGATTAATGGAGATAGATGGTTACAACCAAGAATGACATATTTTCACAAAGATAAAGGTAACAACCTAAGGGATACATATTAACAAATATGGAAGCAATAATCATGCAAGTAAGTCACAACTTAAGATGATCATGTCATAAATTCAAATGATATTTAGGCATTGATGACAATCAAATATGCAAAGAATGTTCACAATAGTTAAGTTCAAGATATAGGAGGAGAAAATGTAAGTTTATGGTGACAACCAAAAGATAAAATAAAGCTTTAACATGTTAAAAAACACAAAGGCATCAACCATCAACAAATCTCACAAGATAAATTAAGCATGGTATAAAAGAAATTCATCAAGACGCAAGGTAACGACCCTAAACACGAACCAACTTTCAAGTAGGAAAAAGGCATTGTGAATACAAGCAATTTGAAATTTTATTCCAATAAATGAAATTAGACATGAAAATGAACAATTTGCAAAAAGAACAGATTGAAAATGCTAAAGCATGAGAAAGTTGTGATTCATTGAAATTTGTTGAAGAAAAAAGAAATAAAATGGCAAAAAAAGTCCCCTATGGGGATTGAACTCAGGACACAAGGCAGACAAGGCATAAGGGGCGCATGGGGCAACCACTGGGGTGGCGATACATCCAAGTATTTTGCCACCCCAATAAACATACATGCTCAAACAGGCGCATATGCTGGGCAAATGACCAAGGCAAAACAAGTGAAACTTGCAAAATGCGTTTTCTCTCTAACTTTGTCAAAACTTAACGTTTTTCTATGAAATTTTAGTCAAACTTGATTGATTTTTGATGAGGATCATGATGGTCACAACCAAATTTTGAAATAACATCCACAAATCAAAACACGATAGCACATGCAAATGGGAAGCTTGAGATGCAATTTGAAATCCACAGGCCAAACCAGGAGCAATTAGAAACATGGAAAGACATGAGCAAAACACATGCATGATTATGAATGATTTCTAGCAAGGATATCAATCAAAATAGTATTGGATCAAAAGGGAACATATAAGTTGCAATGATAGGCACAAATGGCACTGCTGCCAAGGATTTAACAAAAGGGCCAAACATGGATGAAACTTACATTTGATCAAAATAGAAAAAGGAATCTCATGGCATCTCAACCAAACTATTTGAAAAGCAATGAATAACAAGGTGATAACAATCAAAGTGCAAAGATCAAAAGCCAAACAGAACGGTCATGCCATATGCCATG